GGTAAGGTCCCAAGAGTACTGAAGCAGGGTCATGAGTCATTCTTGCTCTCAGACTGTGAGAGAGAATGCTTTGTGGTGGGCATTTTCCTGCATATTACAAACTTGCTAATATTACATTATGTCATTATGTTTGCTAACCATTGTAGCTAGAGTTTTCCTGCCTGGCCCACAGTCAGGACAAATCTTTGTCACCCGCCAGTCCCACAGCCGCTCAGACCCAACCAAGTAAACACAGAGACTTATATTGCTTACAAACTGTATGACCGTGGCAGGCTTCTTGCTAACTGTTCTTATAGCTTAAATTAATCCATTTCCATAAATCTATACCTTGCCACATGGCTCGTGGCTTACCAGCATCTTCACATGCTGCTTGTCCTGGTGGCGGCTGGCAGTGACTCTCGGCCTTCCACTTCCCAGAATTCTTCTCCTCCTTGTCCTGCCTATGCTTCCTCCTGCCTGACTACGGGCCAATCAGTGTTTTATTTACTAACCAATCAGAGCAACACATTTGCCATACAGAACATCCCACAGCAAACCATCCTAAAGGTTATTGTGACATAAAGTGAGTTCATCAGTAAAGACCATTGTATGTATTGTCTGGCTACAGCCTGTATTCGACATGTGTGGAATCACTGTCACTGTCACAGTGGTTGGCCTTTGGTCATTAGAGGGACTCTTCAGGAGTCTAACCCAGCTCCCTGCATTTACTGAAACTCAATGATTATTCAAAACCTCATGACTGGTTTATGGAACCAGACCTCGCTCGGATCCAGCGTTCTCTAATCCCAGCCTTGTCTGAGGGGTTCACTCTTCAGACTAGTTCAATTTTCCCATACTGCATCCTGTCACAGGAATAGCCTCACAGCCTAGCTCTGGGGATGTTGGATTTTATCTCAGGAAGTGACTTCTATAATGGATTTTTGACTGTTGAACACCCAGCCTGAACTCAGTGATTCACCCTCAGATGTGACCTGGCCTATTTCAGAGACAGTTGCCAAGCATAACTTGGTGCAGTTTTCATGGGGTGTATATTTCCCCACACCCCTGTCCTCTGAGGTCCTGATATTAATAACATATTCGTGTATTTTTTTAAAAAAATTAAGCATCTATTTACTTTCTTAGAGCACATAGTGTACCTGCTTGAATGTATAAAAGTTTTCTTGAATACATATTTAAGTTAAATTCAGTTTCCCTACTTTTTTTGATGGTTATCATATTTAAAAATTTTCATAGAATATATTGTGATAATACTTTCTAACTTTCCCCCAACTCCTCCCAGATCCTCCCACCTCCCCACTCATTCAAGAACTCCACACCCATTATTCATTCTTCATCTCTCTCTTTAGAAAACAAATAGACACACACACACGCACGCACACACACACACAAGCACTGAATCAGAAGCTATAATATACAAGCAAAAGACCAGTAAGATGAAAAAAGAAAATCCCAAACAAAGCATATGGGACCAAATGTCTACAAATGCCTTGAGTTTTTTTTTATTTTGGCATCTACTGCTGCGTGTAGGGCCTGTCTTGAAGTATGTCAGCTGCAAATAGCTTCTTTGTTTTGATGGGAGCCCAAGTCACTTCCCTTTCTCATCACAGGGACTGGGTTGACTTGATCACAATCCCGGAAGTCTCTGCTGTCTGTGACTGAGGGTTTAGTTGGGGGCAGTCATTTGCCAGTGTTTACACGTGTCCTCTCCAGAGTGGCTAGTTCAAGAGGGAGTCTCAAAGCCTACCCAAACTAAGCAAAATGAGATTTAAAGTTTACAAAACCACCATTGAGTTCATTTTGAGTTAGCCAACTACTCCTGGGCATGGGCTTGCCCTGAGGTGTGGTAATACACCCCATGGGACTCCATTGGAGAAAACTGATTTTTCCTTTACATGTGAGTGTCAACTGCAGATAGCTTCTTGGTTGAGGGTGGAGCTCATGTCAACTTCCCCCTCTCAGCACCAGAACCTCATCTGACTTGAACCTGTGCAGGTCCTGTACATGCTGCCGTGGTCAGTGAGGTCATATGTGTGTCAGTCCTGTTGTGTCTGCAAGACCCTGTTTCCTTGGAGTCATCCATCCCCTCAGACTCTTAGAATCTTCCTTCCTCCTCTCCTGAACAGATCCTTGAGCCCTGATCCCTGAGCCCCAAAGCGGGGGATTTGATGAAGACATCCCACTCCAGACTGAGTACTCCGAAGTCTCTCACTCTGAACATGGTCTAGTTGTGGGTGTCTGAGTTAGTCCCCATCCACTGCAAGAGGAAGCTTCTCTGATGATGGCTGATGAGACACAGATCTATGAATACAGCAGAATATTGTTAGGAGTCATTTTATTGCTACAGTCCTTTAGCAGAACAGTAGTTTTATGAATTTATGAATAGGAATTTAAATGAAGTTCGACTTCTTCGTGCTCAATGAAATATATAAGTATTGTCTTCAGCAATAGGGCTTTACTTTCAGTTTGTTGAGGGCAACCAGTAGCCTTGGCAGTAGCCCGTGATGTTTGGGGTTTTCCACAGGGCCGCTTTGACCAACGAGTCAACTAGATGAAACCTATTCCTGGCACTGGAAGTTTCACATTAAAAGTGGCACTGATTTTGATGTCTAGTTGGAGCATTCTCTCCTCTGTTATTCAGTCATTCCATTTGATTTCTTGTGTGTGTGTGTGTGTGTGTGTGTGTGTGTGTGTGTGTGTGTAAAAGCTTCTACAGTACTAGGTTAAGTGGCTTTTTGTGAATGCTCCAGAAAGTTAAAAATGCCACATATTTTAGGTTAATAGTGACAAGTGCTTCTAGAAGAGTTTAATTAAGAAGGTATCTAATCTATGAATCCACGTATAGACTGTTTGGGGCTTTGATATATAACTGTAGATATAAAAATGGACAGTTCTCTTTTTCTTTAGCTATAAAGTTATAATGTCAGTGGGGAATTTTATGAATGTGAATTTCATTTGTATTAATTTGTAATGTTTGTAATCATCTATTTAAGTTGATGAATTTCTTTAAAAACACAAATAGCCAAGGGCATCCTACATCAAACACTGGACCACATCTTTTCTAGGTTATTTCATTTCATCTCTATTTTATAGAAATGGGGAAACCTGTCTTTACTAAATGCAGCTACTAAATTGCAGAGCACAGAGTGGCTAAGTCCTGACCCAGGTTCTGAGGCACTCATCTTCGGTTTCTCAACGAGCACATTTTGTCCTTTGAGGCTCTGTGAGCCAGTATAGACAAAATTCCTGCTGGAGTCATCCACAGGATGAGTTCATGCAGGAAGTAGGCAAATATTAGTTCTATTTTATAGACAAATTAACGCTTAAAATAAGTTGCTGTTCCCAGGTGCCACAGTTGGTACAGGATTGATTTCTCATTGTTATTCTTATGATGATCTGTGTATAATTAGCAAAGGGTTTTCTATGTGCTATTTTTGTGCTCTGAAATGTGTTTCGGGATGCAACATTTTGTTGAAGTTTTATTAGACATCTTTATCATCTATAGATTTAGAGTTGCTGTGTATATCATGGTCCCCTGATGATTCAGAGTTCTTTACATCTTTTTCTCTCCTGAAATTAAAATACCCCTGAAATATTGCAAGACCCCTGAAAAATAATACCAGTGCCCAGTGTCAGAGCATGTTATCCTAGGTTAGACCCTGAGCGGGGAGGGCAGTTTAAACTGCTCAGGTTCCTTAGCATCAAGTCACATGGAGATTTTCTGGCAGCTGTTCAGAAAAGATAACCCTGCATCACATGAAACAGAGTTGGCCTCTAGTGATGATGACCATGAGCTTGGCCATGTCATCTCTCGGGCTGGAGAAGAGAGAAGTAAATTGTGTCTGTCCCATAGCAACAGACAGCTCTCCTTTGATAACATACATGTCATAGAAGTTCCAAAGATTTTTAATTCATTTCGCTTATCCTCGCAAACACCTTTACACTTTTTTCCCCCACTGTGTGTATTTGAGTGCATCTGTGAGCATGTGCGGGGGCTGCAGTACACACGACGTGCAAGTTAGAAGCCTGCCAATATTGGTTCTTGCCTTTTTTGCCTTGCTTGAGGCAGGGTATCTTTGCTGCTGGGTAAGCTGGGCTAACTGGCCTGTGAGCACCCAGAGATGCCGTCTCCATCTCTCATTTTCAGGTAGGGACTGCCGGGATTAGAGGTGGTTGTACTTTGCTTCTGCCTTTTATGTAGGTCCTGGGGATTTGAACTTGGATCATCAGGCTTGTTCACCAAGTGCTTTTTCTCACTGAGTCATCTCTTCAGACTCCATCTTTGCACTTTAGAAAACAAATTATTAAGATGATTCTAACTTCAAATACCCCCAAATCTGAATCATTCATGACATCACAATTTAGATGGATGCAAGAGAATTTACTGCAATGAATAAACCAACAAATAAAATGTATGTTTCTCCTCATCACTGACTGGTTATGTTTGGTGTTTTTCTCTTTGCCCCAGGAGGATTCCTGTAATTTGAACTTAAAATGATGTATCAAATTAATATATGTGGGCTGGCATAGCATAACTAATTCAGTTTAAATGCCTCTTCTATAAAAATAATGAAGCAACACATTAAAGATTAAAAATGTTAGTGCACCTCACAGAACTAGTACTTAGTAGAGAAGAGTTTTCCCATGTTAAGGCTGATGTTACATCATCACTTGACCAAACTGGGACTAAGTTTATGTATGTTTTATTCCATAGATGTGTAAAAAGCTAGATTATTTTATTTGAAGAAACTTTAATAAATCAGTATTGACATGTGGGCAAAAAGAAATCTATCCCTTCAGGGGTCATGGGGAAGCGAAGGCATGAAGTTACTTTAGCCAGAACCTTGGAGGTAAACTTGAATGGGGATGGAAATGAATGGCCCCAACGAGTGTGGACCTTTGAAGAGATGAGTTTATCGTCTCTCATTGCCGAGTAAATGTACAGACATCAGACAGTGCTGTAAAGACTCACTTGTGTGGTATACTGGTGTTCTCATTTTCAGATGGGCAAAGGCTATTCTGATGAGGCAGCCTTGATCCTCCACAGGAAAGGGTTTGATTGCCAGTTCTCCAGTAGAGGCACGGGGCTTTCCTGTTCTACTACTCAGGGAAAGGTAAGTTAAGAGTGTGTTTTGGTTAGTCAAGACCGCAGTGCTTTGAAATGCTCACTTGCTGCAGCTAGGACGATCTAGCCCTTCGTTGCCCAGAACTCCTTTGTTCCCACCTGCCTGCAAGCCAGCTGCGGTTTCTTCATCTTCAGAAAACACTTGCTCCATCTAAAGTTTTGGTCTTCCGTTTTGAGACTACAGCACCTTACATCTCCTGCTCCTCATTTCCCCCTCATCCAGGCCACCCGTGCTCCCGTACCATGTAGTTTAGCCATGGTAGGTAGAACTCACTTTTCACAAAGGCTGGGACAAATTTCAGAATAACTGATGATTGGCATAGCAATGAAGTTATGGCATTAACATCAAGATCATGGTCAATGAATAATTGAACACAGCCCAGAGGCAGCGGTGCAGAGCTCAAGTCGGTTGATTCATTTGGAGAAATAAATGTTTGTCTGGGTCTCCTGATTGATCCAGATTTGTGTCTGAGTCATCACTGTGGAGATCAGATGGCTCATTAGTCTGCACCCTGCTGGCTGCTTGCCTGTTCTTGATTTTTTTCTCCTTAAGTTGGGCGCCTGGCAGTTCATCAGCCTCTCCTTGGAAGGATGAACATCCAGCCTCCTGCCTCTAAGTGAGCCGTGACTCACAAAGCAGCTGCCTGGTCCTTGCCCATAGGCAGCAGCTTGGCATAGTCAGCTCTCTGCCGGAACTCCGTAGGCACACCACAGAACAGACTCAAGCAGTCTTGATCCAATGCTACAAGTTAGAACACATCCTAAGGTCTGAGAAGAGGGTTTGCTTGGATGACTGTTGTTGTCCCACTCTCCGTGTGTGTGTGTGTGTGTGTGTGTGTGTGTGTGTGTGTGTGTGTGTGTGTTTTCCAGTGTATTTCCACCCTATTAGTGATGATCTGAATATACGTAATGAACCTTCTAGTGTTGAGATATTTAGTCTTAAGAGAGATAATAGAGTCATATTATCCCAAGAGACACTTTACGATAACCTGGCAAGGTGAAGAATATATTTTCCTGATGTCCCTGTAGACTGAGGTCAGTAATATATTGAGCCATTGTTATAATGAACCTGTGTCTTATTTTTCAATTCTTTTGGAAAAGGGGTATGGAGACTGGTTTAGAATCACCATTATTAGGGATAAATATTGACCAAAAGTATTTGATGATTTTAAAGCCCTCAGGGACTGTAGGGACTTGTTGGCTCTTAGGTGTCCTCTCATATCGAAAATGTCCACATAGAATACTAACAGAAATGCAAAGGAACGGCTCACAGCCGTGTGTCTCTCCAGGGAGTTTATGTGTTCAGGAATGTCCTTCTTCCTTCATTTTCTTAAAAGGAAACTTTACCACATAAATGTATTCCTTCCTGTGCTTTTCTTAAATTAATTTTATAGATGTGCTACAAGTCTTCACTCAGTGTTGATCTGAATATGCAAATCTCAGGGTTGATCTGAATATGCAAATCTCAGGGTTGGTCTGAATATGCAAATCTTGTCACTTGCTTTTTTAGATGTCAGTCCCCAAACTTTTCAACAAGTTTGCTGTGGAAAGCCTCATTCCTTCCTCACTGTCCTTGATGCACTGGCCTCCAGATGCCCAGAACGTGAGTGAGATCAACTTGAGTCCCATGGAAATCAGCACATTCCGGATCCGCTTGAGGTGAAACCGACTTTCTTCGGATTGGAGTGGAGAAACTCTGGCTTTGTTACCTTCATGGTTTTTACGTGCAATAACTAAGCACATTACTTTAGCTTCTGGCTACTGGGAGAACATGAATTCTGTGATTTTTTTTTTTTTAAAACTAGTCTAGTAAGAAGAAGAAAAAGCCATGTTTTCAAAAGGTTTCTTTTTCTAAGTTTGTCCCACAAACTACTACTGTCAGTGTGAACTGAAGTAACAAAACAAAAAAAGGAATATTGAAAAACAGCCCCTCAACAGACTGTATCTCAGGTTAAATGCTCACTAATTATGTTTGAATTGAGGGTTGTAAAGCGATTCTTAAAAATATTCATGTTTCTGATTATTGGTTTTATAAAAAATACCCATTTGACCTAAATGGAAAGAAAAAGACAAAAGTTGGTAGGTAATAGTTTTTAATGACCAAAATAGTTGTAATCATTGATCATTGCTACAAATTTAAATTTTTGTGTGTGTTTAAAATATGTGGCAAAGTGCAATCCCTCAACCCTTATGATAAATGTCATTGATTTTCATACTCCTTCCCAATGAACCTCTCAATTACCATTTCCTACCCATACATTTAAAAAAAGAACTTGTTTTTTTAGTCATTCGCCAGTAGAAAAAGAGGCATATTTTCATTACTTGACAATGTGGGATGGGTGCAATGTAGTCCATTGTCACTGAAACAGAAGAAGCAATTCCATTTTCGGTACCACGAGGTGTCTTTTTACATAGCTCATTTGAATACAGGTGTTCCAAGGCGGGGTTTTCTATTTTTAAATTACCATATCAAAAATAAATGTGCCTTATTTTTTTATAAGTCTTGTTAAACCTTTTGGTGTCCATATTACTGTGTGGGAAGGGGAGGGGTGTGGGGAGGCTGGGGCAGGGGTTGGGTGCTTTCTATAACACGTAAATTATGTAACTTTTGCTTGATAATGCTGGCCACATTCTCATCTGTTTCATTAAATTTGTGGTGGTGTTACTCTAAACATTTTGACTATTTGAATGTACTGAGATGTCAGAAAACAAAACAAGGAAGAAAAATATTGTTAATTAAAATATGCTGCTGCCAAGGAAACAGCGACTTGAAGCAAGGATTTTGTAACACATGAGATCCAAATCCTGTTTGCATTTCACAGTAGTCAACCATATTAAAGAGAGAAGGCTTTAAAAGAGACTGTCTTAAAATCCACTGCGTGTCGCTCATCTTGATGTGTTTAACTAAAGACTAGGTTCCAAACTTTGGTGTGTGGTGACCTCAGTGTGTTATTCTAGCCCATGTGCCATCACAGGACTTTTAAGTTCATTTGAAATCATTGTTTCTTTAATATAATAATAGTATTTAATGTCAGCCTAGAAAAGAATTCTCTGGCTATGTACACTTTTGAAAAATTCTCCTCAGTGTCTTAACCTGGTTTAGAATTCTCTGACTTCAAACTTCCATTTACCTCTTGTCATTCCAATACCCTTACAGAGAAAAGCATTTATTCTGATAGTCCTCTGGATTTTCACTCTAGACGCAGCTCCTGCACTCACTGTTCGGTTCTGCTCATAAACTCCTTTGCCTATAAATCATCAAGGAAACAATTCCAGAGTCGACAACAGTACTGCAAGGGTATGATTTCATGCAATAAGCATGTGATGTCCATTCCCTTCCTCACTTGTTGGGGAATAAGCATCTGAAATACAACGGAACACCTTCCATCTGTAGACCTCTGCAGACATTGGCTAGGATAGCCGGGAGCAAATTCCAGGAACAGGATCGGTATTCTGGTTGTATCTTAAGGGTGTAGCTTCCTGTGGGTGTTCACTGTGTTCGGTGGTTAAGTGACGGTACTTAAGCCCTGCAGAAATTCTGACCGGATGAAATGAAAACTGACGCAATAAAAATGGGTCTGCCCTGTGCCAGTCGGGGCCCTGGCTCAGTGTGTGCTGCTGCCACCAGCTCTTTACTCACAGGTGAAGCAGAAATTCTACGGAACCAGCAAGTTTCTGCTTTTTAACGTTATTTTCAGACTACAGCATCAGGGAAATGAAGAGAGGGTTTTTTTGCTTTGGGTCATGGTCAAGAATTAACTAAATAATTCAGTTTCTCTGGCACACATGAACATCCAGCCACACTTCTGTCGTGACCTCAGTGGTCTGTTTGGTTGGATTTTATTACACGGATTGTCACAGATGTTCAGTGGACCAAGGCATTGCTTTACTGTTCTCTCCTCACTTCTTGAAATTTTAATTTTGTTTAATAGGTGCATTGTTCAAATATCAGTGTTCTTCTTTTCTAAAAATATTGATTTTAAATAAAATGCTGTAAGATGTTATAAAACATCGTAATTAGCTCCCTGTGTCTTTGTACCTGTGCTGAAATGTTTTCACAGTCCTTTGTCTAGAAGAAAATGTTTACTTTCATTTTGATTATTTTGCTCATTGAAATCAACAGGTTTTGATATTTTTCTCTTGGAAGATTTTTATAACTTTTTGGGAATATGTAATATAAGATCTCTAATAAAATATAATCTTATCCTGTGCACTGTCTTCTAGAGTGGTTCTTAATCCTATTTGTAAATAGACATATTGACCCATTTATAACACAGGGTGGAGCAGTGGGGGGCGGGGGCTGTTCTTTGTTCCTTCATGAAGAAACCATCGTTCTTCAGTCCAGCTCTAGTTAGTAAAGGATTCGGAACGGGTAGCAGATGAATATTAGTAAGTTTCACGTCCTGTTTGGAGTACCTTTGGATTGGAGTCTGGAGCCCTGTCCAGCTGTTGAATCCATGGATCCATCTCTAGCCAGCTACATGATAGGAAGACTCTGGTCAGATTCTATGTATGGAAAGAGCAGGACAGAACAGGAAATGGAGGGAAATCAGCATATGAAGCTAAGAAGGTTCCTGTAAATTGATCCAGAAAGTAAAGCTGGTGGGAAGACGGAATGCCCGATACTGCCACTGCTCTGTCCAGGCTAACACACAGCTGCGGGGCCTGAGGACTTCCTCCAATAATCTCCAGTTGGTGAGGACAAAGAGTCCTGAAGGTCCACAGGTGCATGCTAACCGGGAAGCTTAGACTTATTTCGGGTGACACGCAGTAAAGAAATTCAGCAAATTATAATATGTATACACAAATATGTAAAAGTATATCTACCTGGGAAGTAATACAAAGTAAGTCCTTGGCTCCATAAATTTGATTATCAGCATGTTACAGAAATGTTATTAAACCTGGTAAAGAATTTTTGGTTTAGGTGAGTATGTGTTCATAACATGTCCTACAAATGTTGATTTGAAAGCAGCTGAGGTGAGTCTGGTTTTGAGTGGTTCCATCAAAACCTACAGTAGAGAAGGAATTAGCAAGTGTGGCTGTTCCTGTCACAAGCTGAACACAAATGCCTTGAGGCCAAAATGGACAAGAATCCTTCAGTACAAACTGCCTCCATCTAAAATGGGAAACTGCCTTCCGTCAGTGATGTTCAGGAGAGCGCACACGCTCGCAATCCAGCGGAAACCAAGTGTGAGGTTTTCCAGGTTTGGCCTTTATCTCTTGCCTTGCCTTTGCTACTGCTGTCCTTGTTCTCGGGCTTTCCAATTGGCAAGATGAGCACCAGACGACCCAGACCCGTGTGTAGACGTTGCAGAGCCCCTGGTAGAAAGAGCACCTTTATGTCATTGTGGGTAGCACGTGTCACATGTCTTGGAGTTAGTGTCATGTTAGTGCCACTGACTCTCTTCTTCATATGCCAATGATTGCATTAAGGACATAGACTTAAAAAGTTTGCGAACATGGGAGAGTGGGTGGGCCCGTGGAAAATGGGAATCTGTAGCTATGGAAATGGCTTCAGGGTGGTAAGGGTGTTTTGGATAGGAGTTGGTGTTTCGGATGTCAGGCAAAGTACAGTAGGAACACATTGCTGAGGAAAATCGAATGCAGATGGGAAATTTAGAGAAAGCAGCGAGTATACCTGATTTGGCTTTCAGGAAAGGTTTCATAGAAGAAATCGTGAGGTAATTTGTATAAGGTTAATCTGATCTTCGCGGAAAAGACTTTAGGCCTGACTTGTTAAAGACCAGAATGGGGAAACATGGAAACACATGGCACAACCTGCCAACTGGGACACATTTCCACTCTCTACAGAGAGCTGCTAAGCAAACCTCCACAAAGGAAAACTCCTCTATGTATGTGTTGTCCAGTGTGGAAGCCACTGGCCATTGTGGCCCTGGGTTGTTAGAAACAATGGGTGGAGCTCGTTTGCTGAGTTGTTTAATTCAACTTGAACGGCAGCATATGGCTCCTCTTCTGGAGCATGTCCTAAGTATAAGTAAATAGAACAGACAAGCATTAGACCGAATTTGAGGCCACATTTTGCTCCAATCCCCCTCCCGCTGTGGTGGTCAGACCCAAAGCACTGGCTGTCCTGGAAACTTGCTGGGACCACAAACCCTCAGCCCCTACCTACCCCAGACCAAGGGACTTGGAATCTGAATTTTACCCATCTTCCTTGAGAATCTGCGCCCTCAGTGAGCACTGGCCAAGCCAGCAGTCTAGGAGCCTGGGAGTCTCTGCATGTTTCCTAAATAGACCTTGACTATTTAGAAATAGTTCTATGTCCTACAGAGGCCAGAAGACATGCCCAGTGCCACGTGCCAGAGTGTTACCTCTGGCTCCTCACAACTGCCTGCTTGCAGGCCTGCTGATTTTAGGTTTTGCTTTGTCGTCATCGTCTCCCTCCCCCCTCCCCCCCTTGCCCCCCCACCGCACAGATGCCAAAGTGAGCTTCTAAAAAATACTTTTCTTTCCTTCTGTATGTCTTACACTGCTTCTCGTGTCTGCTGGCTGGTGGCTGCCTGACTGGCCCCTGACATCTCCCTCATTCTCTCTTCTCCTTCTCTCAGTCCTCTCTCAAACCTCGATTTCTCCTCCTATCTATTCTCTCTGTTCACTCGCCCCACCTATCTTCTCTCTGCCTAGCTATTGGCCGTTCAGCTCTTTATTAGACCAATCAGGTGCCTTAGGCCGGCAAGGTGAAACAAATGCAACACACCTTTACATAATTAAACAAATGCAGCATAAACAGAAGTAACACACCTTTACACAGTTAAAGTAATATTCTGCAGCATGAACAAATGTAATGCTGTGGGATGGTCTGTATGTCAAATGTGTTGCTGATTGGTCAATAAATAAATCACTGATTGGTCAGTGGCCAGGCAGGAAGTATAGGCGGGACTAACAGAGAGGAGAATTGAGAGAACAGGAAGCTGGGTGGGGGAGACACTGCCAGCCGCCATCAGGACAAGGAAGATGTAAAGTACCGGTAAGCCACAAGCCACGTGGCAAGGTATAGATTAATAGAAATGGATTAATTTAAGCTGTAAGAACAGTTAGCAAGAAGCCTGCCACGGCCATACAGTTTGTAACCAATATAAGTCTCTGTGTTTACTTGGTCGGGTCTGAGTGGCTGTGGGACTAGCGGGTGAGAGAGATTTGTCCTGACTGTGGGCCAGGCAGGAAAACTCTAGCTACAAATGGCGTCCAACGTGGTGGCAAGAGTTTCCACCTAAAACCTGAGAAAAAAGATTCTAAAATGGAGCTAAAAACAGTTCCTAGTTGTCTCTTTCAAGTTAGCGGCAGCCTGCCGGTTTGAGCTACTGGTGGGTTCCTAGCGTGTGCGCTCGACCTGCAGTATGGCGGGAATGAAGCCTCTGCAAGTGGCACATTAAGCTGTGTGGTGGATTTAACCTTTGCTAGTACAAAACAAAACAAAACAAAGCAAAACAAAAAAAAGAGGTTTCTGGGCTACACGCTGCTTTGATAGAAGCATAGACCCACTATTTCTGAGAGTTGATGGCTCCCAGAGCTGGCAGAAAATGTATCACCGCCATGTTGGGAAGCTGAAGTGGGCGGAGCCAGCAGCCATAGCGCCAGTGCTGTTTCAGGCTTAGAATGCTACAGTTCAAAGCAATAGGCTCAAGCTAATATAAAAAAATAAGCCATGTAAAGATGGCTACCACACAGAGAATCTGGATTATGTTCTCTTTGATATTCGTAACTAAAGAAAAACATTTGATTACAAAAGCTGTTGAGTTATGCCAAAATGTATATTTTAAAGGTACCTTGAGTTCAAAATTTGGATGTAAGGATATGTTGCTTTGGAAAGGAGGCTCTGCTTTTGTTTCCACAGAAAGCCAGAGGCTATGGATTTGTTCCAGATTAAGACACATCAGGTTTGACCAGCCAAGACCACCTGAAAGGTCTCCGATGACACCATGGCCCAGATGATCCAACATCCAGAACCGTTTCAAGGCAACTGGCTCAGACGATACACCCTCATGGACTACTCCATAACCCTAAAATATTCTTTGTGTCCCCATAAGATACAGCGCCCCCCTCCAGCAGGAAGTAGTAAGAGAAGCTACGCCCAAATTCCCAAATATACCAAGCTGACTTTGGAGATGTGTAAAGGTTAAAACCTTCCTTTTTAAGAAAAGAAAAGGGGAAGTGCTGTGGGATGGTCTGTATGTCAAATGTGTTGCTGATTGGTCAATAAATAAATCACTGATTGGTCAGTGGCCAGGCAGGAAGTATAGGCGGGACTAACAGAGAGAAGAATTGAGAGAACAGGAAGCTGGGTGGGGGAGACACTGCCAGCCGCCATCAGGACAAGGAAGATGTAAAGTACCGGTAAGCCACAAGCCACGTGGCAAGGTATAGATTAATAGAAATGGATTAATTTAAGCTGTAAGAACAGTTAGCAAGAAGCCTGCCACGGCCATACAGTTTGTAACCAATATAAGTCTCTGTGTTTACTTGGTTGGGTCTGACAGCTGTGGGACTGGCAGGTGAGAGAGATTTGTCCTGACTGTGGGCCAGGCAGGAAAACTCTAGCTACAATGTAACATGTTTGCCTAGTTAAAATAATATTCCATAACACCTGAAGGCAACCACTTCCAGTTTTTTTTTAAATCACACTGCCAATTAATAAACATTAACTCAGTTTTTCATTGGGTAAGGGACCTACACTGAGCTCTGCAGCGCTCCTCTCTAAAGAAGTCTGGTAGAATTAAGGTGCCCTGAGATGGGAGAACAAGAGGGTATATTAGCATAAATGACAGATACTCTGGGATTTCATAGGTGAGGGGACCTCAGTTGAACCTAAAGGGTAGGTTCATCCCCAGTTAGGATGGGAGAGAACAGAAGGTTGAGAGAATTTGGTGGGAATTTGGGAAAGAACAATTAAAAGAAGTTAGACAGGAAATGTCCATGACTAAAGAATCCCTGTACTCTGGATCTAGACATTCTACTCTACATAAGGAAATGGTAGTATGTATGTTAACACAGGTTTAAAAACACTGCAAATATGAAAGGAAATATGGATGTGTGTAGTTTCCAGAAGAACCTTCATCTGGTCACATTGTTTAATCTATTGTGAAGGAAAGGACATGCATGTATGTCTCAGAATTTGTGATTTTTTTTTATTATAGCCATGCCATGCTTCATTAAGGAAATTATGAAATTTAAATGCCTTATTCATGAGTCT